TGCTGCTGCTGCTCCTGTGTCCGGTGCCTGGCGCGGGGGTGCTCCCAGGTGAGGGCGTGGGCTGGGGGCGCCCAGGGACGAGGCGGGGCGGCGGGTTCCGCTCGGAGCTCGGGTCAGCGGAGGGAGGGTCCCACACCCCCTGGACCGCCGGGCCAGGAGGACAGCGTGGGGAGGGCTTGGGGAGGGAGGTCTCCGTGGGACAGCCTCAGGGACTGTCCACCGGGCTTGGATGGCCTCGGCTGGACATGCTCTGCGTGCCAATCCCTCTCCCTTCCCCCGCCAGCCTCCCCTCTCCTCCCCACTGGGCTCTCAGAACCCCCAGCCTCTGTCCACCCTGTGAGCCCCTCCTGCACCTCTGCCTCTTAGGGTCGAGCTGAGCTTCCTCCTCCAGGAGGGCCCCCCACCCAGTCCCTGCTCTGCCCTCAGGCTAGATAGAGCCAGCAGTGGCCCTGGCCTGCTCCCAGTGGTCCCCTCCTCCCAGGGCCTTGGGCCCTGTGTGTATATTGTTTATATTGTTGCCTTGTTTGGTTAGATAGAGAACTTCTCCAAACAGAAGGTGGCTGTTTCCTAGGGCCCAGGGAGGAAGGCAGCTGTGTCTCTGCCCTGCAGTCTCTCCAGACCCTGTGAGATGAGGCTGGGAGCAACCTTTGTAAGCAAGTGGGTGGGAGGACTAGCAGAGTCCGGCACATCAAGTGCCTGGAGAGGGACAAAAAAGGCACCCAGGCGGAAGGCATGGAGGGCTGGGCTGGACAGCCGAGGGCGCCACGGCCCAGTGCTGGGGGCCCAGGTGTCTGGGGTCCTGCTCTTTTCCTGCCTCATGTCTTTGAGGATAGTCCCCAGGCATTCAACTGCTTCCTCCCCTGGACCCCTGGGAGGGAGGGGTGCTCTGCTCCCCAGCACCTGACTGGCTCCCTGGGTTTCCACTCCCATCCGTCTAGTCACCAGAGCCCCAGCTCTGCCTCGCTCTTTCTCAGCAGGTGCCAGTGGCCAGCATGTGTGTGCAGAGTCCACAGCCACGCACACACCCACTCACCGCACGAGCCCACTGTACCCTTCCTCACCCTTAGAGGCAAAGCTTGAGTCTCCACCCCAGTTAAGTCCTCTCTAGGCTGAGAAAAACCTCTTCCTCCCCTCCCAGGCCCACTCAGACCCCTCCCTGCACTGGTCCCTTTAGCTTCTTTCCCAAGGCACTGGGCTGCCTCAACCCCATTTGCCTGATGGCAACTCATTCAACCAGTCAAGGAGGGCTTCTTGGAGGAAGGGGGCTCCTGGAGCAGGTACTCTTCCAGGTCTTTGATGCCTGGGGTCTGGGAGAAGAAGTGGAGGAGAACAATGGAGCTGGGGTGGCCCAGCAGAAGCTGAGTTGCTTCCACAGGCAGCCATCAGCCTGGGCAGGATTGGGGCCAGGCCTGTGGGGGCTGGGGCTGTCTGTTCTGGGAGCTGGGCTCGCCCCTGGGACTGAGTTATAGAAAGGAGGGAAGCGGGCTGTAGGCTCTGGGTGGCCTCGGGCCTGGTGAGAGTTGCTGGGGCCAGTGGGGGGGGGGGGAGCATTCCAGGGGAGCATTCCAGGCGCCCTCTGAGTAATGCTTGGCTCTGGGATTCCTTGTAGGGCCCCCATAGCCACACCCAGTCTGGGAGCACCAAGGCTCTGTCCCCCAGCCTCCCCTCACCTTGAAGACACGAGGAAGGGCCTTTTGGGAACCCCGCCCCCAGGACAAAGCCTCCAGGGAGCTTCCAAGACCCTATCTGGCTGTTGTTTTGCTCAGATGGGGGGGAGACACAGACCCTTTTTTCATGGATCTCTCGCCCTAAAGGCATCTGCTACCCAGTCTGAAAAGACCAGAGGCTGCCTTCCTCTTCCCTTCCTCTCTTACTGGGTGCCTTAGCTCTTCCTTGTGATCTCTGACCTCACACCGGCCCCCTCCCAAAGGTCAGGCAGCTCCCGCGACCCCAGCTGAGCTGTCCCTTCCCAAGCTCCTCGGTCTCTCTTCTGCCACCTCCCCGGTGGCTCCTCAGCTCCAAGGATGCCCCAGGTTGGGCTCACAAGTACTGAAGAGGAAGTCAGCCCTTCAGGGTCCCGTTCCTCCTTGGGGATGTCCTTTAACACCAGTCCCTTGCTGTTCCCCACTCCTCCGTGTCCCCCAGGTCCTCCTCACCCTGTGCTTGCTCTGTCTTCACCCCAGGAGACACCCCTGGAGAGCCAGTCACCCCCCACTGGATCCTGGATGGACCACCCTGGTGCACTGTCACCCTGGAGGAACCGGTCAGTGCCACATCACCTCATCCTCTGCAGGGGCCCTGGGTCTCCCAGACCCTTGGCCCCTCCCCAAATTGCAGCCTGGCAGTGTTGCTGGGGTCCCTTAACTCCTTCACAACTCCCTCGGGTCACTCCCCACCGGGTTGGCAGGGCAGGGGAGAGGTGGGGGCTGGACATCAGATCTCGTGAGCATGCACACATGGAAGTCATTTTCAGCTTCCTCTACTCCTCCTCCCTGCTTTTCCTCCTTCCCTGGATTATCTGGGCCACCCCTACCCCCAACAGGCAGAAATGGGTCCAGGATTTGTGGGGTCTGACGTTTTTCAGGAGCCTCTATGAGAAAACACCAAAAAAAAAAATCCTCTTTTGCAAAGTTTGTCAGAACCTGTGACCCTGTGGATGCAGGCTGTCCCTCTCAGGGCTCTGCCAAGGAAAGGCCTGAAACCATGGCCTCACTGGCTCACGTGGAGACCACATTTGGCCAGGAGGCAGTGGTCACTCTCCTGGTGGCCCCCAGATGTAAGCCCATCCCATTTTGTTTCTTCAGGACATTCTGCCCTGGCTTCCTCCCAACTCCTGCCGGGAACACACTTCCAGAATAACCACATCTGTGCTGCAAACTAAGAGGCCAGCAGCCTTGATATGCCCATTTCATGGAGGGGCAAACTGAAGCCCAGAGAGGTTGGGGAAACTGCTCATGGTCACACAGCTCCTTAGCCTGGGACCCTGAGACCCATTAAGGTCTGAAAAACCTGTAGACTATCGGCCAAGCTTAGAGAGTTTTCATTACTCTGGATTTCCAGGCAAGAGAGAACAGTCCCACAGTCCAAGACCAGTGAAGGCGAAAGCAGGAGAGCACTGCCACGAAGGCTGGAAGGCCCCAGAAGTCCAGCAGTTCCCAACCTAGGGCTCTCACTGGGGCTTCCTAGACCCTCAGGATCCCCGTTTGACTGGTCAAGCACAGCACTGGCCGGAGCTTTGAGAGTTTTCTCCTCCCCACTCCCTGGGAAGGGAAGAGCTGGGCATACGCTTGGGTCCCTCTGACTGTGAGCCTCCCTCCCGGCCTGTTCTGGTCTGTGACCAAGAGGGGAATTCCAGAGAGGCCCCGCTCCCCTCATTTGTGGGCCCACCTCCAGGAAACCTGCAATGGAGCCAGAGTGTCCCCTCTACCCTGGCAGGAAACACACTTCAAGGTGGGGAGGGGTATATATCAAGGGGCAGGTTCACCAGAATGACAAGAAATGAGACAAAAGGGCCGCAGAGGGACCGGAAGGTTGAGTGAGGCCTTCCAGGTTGAGTGAGACCTTCTGTCTTTCTCCCATTGCAGATCTTTCCACAATAAAGCAAGGGGCATTCCAGTCACATGAGTGCATGTTTGGGGTCTTGTGGGGTCTGTGGCCAGGGAGGCAAGGACAGTCTGCTCCCCACCTGCAGAGGAAGGGCACCCCAAGACTCTGAGCCCCTTGGACAGGGTCCCAGCCTGACGCACTTTGGGATAAAAGGGGAGGGGTGCAAGAGAGGGGGTGGGTATTCCAAAGACACAGCAGTTTCCCGGGAAGCTCCTGGGCTGCCTCCAATTCTAGGCCCCCAGCCAGGCTGTGTGGACGGGGAGGCGGGGAAGACAGGGTATTCCCACCGGGTGGGAGAGGTGGAGAGGGGGGGGGGGGGGGGAAAGGGCTAGCCGGCCAAGGCCAGCCTCCTGACTTCTAGCTGAGAGAGCTGATGTTCTGTTTTGGCCTGGGATGGAGTCCATGTTTACTTCGTAACTCAGTGAAGCAGGTGGTGGTGGGGAGGCGCTGGAGGCCAGGAAAAACTTTGGAGGAGGAGGCAGACTGCCAGAACTGGAAGTAGAGGAATAAAGTTCGATTTCTATAGGGTCGGAGGAACGACAAGACACAGAAACAAGCCCCAGACACCACAGAGGCTGTGAGGAGGCCCGATGCCCCCTCGATGTCCTCATGACCCCACTGTGTTCTGCTTTTCGTGCCCCTTCTGGGCAAGGAAGAAGAGGGTGGGCCGGGGGAAGGGCACATTTCCAGGCCTTCTGCTCTAGAGGGAGATGTGTGCACCGGGCGGGCTGTGCTCATGCCCTTGCGAGTGGGTGTTGTCAGAACAGCAGACATCCTGTTTGGGAACATCTTTGTCGATATGTTCTCAGCCCCTGACCCTTCTATGCCCTCCATGCAACTTGGTTCCTGCTGCCCCCCATCCTTCCCATGTATTTCCTCACCAGCCAGCTCCACATGCACTTGCTCCCTGGCAGGCAGAGGCCTGGAGACCCACCATCTCAGCCCTTCACTCCTTCTTGCCCAGGGCTCGAGGCCAGATGTGGGGCTGGTGACCTTGGAGGCTGAAGGCCAGGAGCTCCTGCTTGAGCTGGAGAAGAACCCGTGAGTACCAGGCTGGAGTGGGGCTGGGACCAGAGAACAGACCCTCTCTCTGGAGGCGATCAGCGCTGGGGAGCAGGGACTGACACGGATCCCACGAGGGAAGCTGGATAGGGAGAGGATCCCAGAGGGGGTGCAGGTGACAGGAGAGTCTCCGTAGCCCGTGCCTAACTGCCCTGAGGTTAAAGTGGGTTATTGAGGCCACGCCCCTCACCCCAACCCCAGGAGGAGATTGCCAGCTCCCTTCTGGATATGGGTGAGCACCACCTAGTGGGCACTTGCAGGATACACTGAGTCAGAAGAAGCTCCCAGTCGGGATCCAAAGACCAGACGGCATTCCAGGCTGAGGGAATGGCAGGCACAAGGGTGTATTGACTGTATTGGGGGGCGTCAGGTTGTCTGGCTGGCTTGGAAAGTCTCCATCCAGGGAAGGGCGATGAATCTGGGGAGTCCCAGTAGGGCCAGATCATAGAAGGCCATTTTAGCGCGGGGAGTCCTGGACGGTGCACAGCCAAAGAGTTTGAGCTGGTGAATGACAAAGCAGAGCTGTGCTAAGGATGGTGCCCTGGGCGGGATGGGGTGGATGTCCAAGAGGCAGCTCAGGGTCCTGAAACCATCCAGACTGTGCCATCAGTAGGTCTCACCGAGTGCGTGTTTCGTCACTGTTCTAAGTACTTCATGTGTGCCTATCCTATGGAGTCAGATGGACTAGACACCAGCTCCAGCTCCACTGTACCTGACCATAGCTCCTCTGGAGTTCAGTGTCTCCACCCTTTCCATGGGGCGGCCACATCACCCACCCCTAGGGCAGTGTGTACATGTGCAGTAGCGGGAGTGGAGCTGCAGCGGGCGCAGGACTGACTGGGGGGTGGATGAGCCAGCATCATTGGTCCTTTGGTGCCCCTGGAGGTAGACAGGCCAAGGCAAGTTTGGGTCGAGTGTTTTCTTTAAAGAAGAGAGTTTGGCTTGTGGCTGATCTGTGCTGACGGGAAAGATCCTGGTGAGATGGAGTCCAAAGATGGACCCGTGACTGGAGTGGGGTCTGGAGAAGTAGGGTCCCTGTTCTCAGGTGGGCAGGGCAGGAGCAGGTGTGGGTAGGTGGGGATTCCTTTTTCTCTGGAAGCAGGGGGTGAGGGGTGAGCATCATGGGAGGTATGTGAGGTCTAGAGGCCTGAGGATCTGGGGTGGGAGAGGTTGACCAGATACCCAGCAAGGGTAGGCACAGGTAGGGTACCTATGGAGTTTACCAGCTCCCTTGACTCCAAGTCCCACCGCTTAGCAGTGCCCTCATGACCTGTGCATCCAGCAGGCTGCTGCAGGCCCCACAGGAACCACAATCTCTTCCCCATTACATTTTTTTTTTGAGTCAGAATCTCATTCTGTTGCCCAGGCTGGAGTGCAGTGGAATGCTCATGGCCACTATAGCCTCGACCCGCTGGGCTCAGGTGATCCTTTCACCTCAGCCTTCCAAGTCGCTGACACTACAGGCATGTGCCACCATGTCCCGCTAATTTTTTGATTCACTGTAGAGACAAGGTCTCACCATATTGCCCAGGCTGGTCTTGAACACGTAGGCTTAGGCAATCCTCTCACCTCTGCCTCCCAAAGTGCTGGGATTCCAGGCATGAGCCATCGCACCTGGCTTCTTCTCCATTTCTGTTCCTCCCTGGTGTTTCCCACACTCCCAGATGGGAACCTCTAAGCCATCGCCAGTGCTTCTTCCTGATCTGCACTTTCTCTCTCTAGCTCAAGGGGTTTCCAAGCTGGGCAGGACACAGCTTCTCCTGTTCCTTCCCTTAGTGCCTCACTCATAAAGCTGCTCAGTTAGCAGTTGGGGAGGAAGGCTGGGAAGGCATCCTGGAGGAGGCAGGGCTGAATTAAGTGATACCTACAATGCTCCCTCCCAGCAGGCTGCTGGCCCCAGGATACACAGAAACCCACTACGGCCCAGATGGGCAGCCAGTGGTGCTGTCCCCCAACCACATGGTGAGATACTTTCATGGGCTCTGAAGACCGGGTGAGGCACCTCTGAGACAGCCCCCACCATCCCTACCCCTTCCCCTTGGTCTGTTCCTGAGGAGAGGATCAGCCCCCCCTGCGCCCTCTCTCCTGCTTCAGCCCTGGCTGAGGTTTGGGGCTGAGTCCCTTCCTTTCTCTCCAGGACCATTGCCACTACAGTGGGCACGTGAGGGGCTTCCCTGACTCCTGGGTAGTCCTCAGCACCTGCTCTGGGATGAGGTGAGGGGTTCTGGGAAGGGGGCTGGACTTGGGGATGAGGAAGGAGTTAGCGCCCTCACACCCCCCTCTGTGCCCCTCTGCACCCTAGTGGCCTGATTGTGCTCAGCAGCAATGCCAGCTATTATCTGCAGCCCGTGCCACCTGGGGACTCCAAGGACTTCTCAACCCACAAGATTTTCCGGAAGGAGCAGCTGCTCACCTGGAAAGGGGCCTGTGGCTACAGGGACTCCAAGGACAAAGGGGCCTTGGCCAGCCTTCCTCGTGCTCCCCAGAACAGGGTCAGGGGCACAGACAGGGGTGGGAGTGGGAAGCACTCCCAGATCGGAAGTGACAGGAATTCACAGGCCTCAGGCCAGGGCTCTGGTCTCAAGATCTTTATTCCAGGCGGAAGAAACACGTTCTGGCAGAACCGTACAGCTGTTCTTTCTGGGTATTGGGGAGGTGGTCAGGGCTCAAGCCCAGCAGTCTGCTGCTGAGGGTCGCCGTTTGCCTCTCTGCAGGTCAGGCGGGAGGCCCGCAGAAGCCCGAGGTACCTGGAGCTCTACATAGTGGCTGACCACGCCCTGGTGAGGGGAGACCCCAGGGGCGGGCGGTCCAGGATGGGGCCAGCTCGGTCCCTCGGCCCACGCACTTCTGCCTTCCCAGTTCTTGACCCAGCACCGGGACTTGAACCACACCAAACAGCGTCTCCTGGAGGTCGCTAACTACGTGGACCAGGTTTGGAGACGGCAGCGATGGGGGTGACCGCGGGGCGCGCAGAGGCCCCAGCGGGTGCGGCTGGCTCGGGGAGAGGAGCGCCCGCGCCGCGGGCCCCAGCTTCCGGCTCAGCCCCGCCCCCCG